CCCCAAAACCCCAAAACCCCAAAACCCCAAAACCCCAATTGTTGTAAAATAAGTTGAAATTTAAATTGAAAGCTTTGACTTATTGGTGACCCTTATCTCTATTTATGATATCTCATCATTTGTTGTTTCGTGTAGGAAGTGTTCACTTTCTCTGTATTTGGCTAAGCTGAATCTGTGGTAGATATTATCACACAAGTCGTCAATATCATCAAGCTTGTCTTTATCATCTCAGTACTGTCTAATCCCTTCCTGGAGATCCTTCTTGAGCTCTATTGGAGAGCATATCTTGTTTGAATACTCATCTGAGACAAAGATGATGCCTTCTTTGTTAAAAATATTACTTTCGAATTTCTCATCGATCTTTGGGAAATCTTCTTCGAAAAACTTAATGGTGTATGAACTCATCTTCTCCCCGGGAGCTTTATCAACGAAAATATTACTACAGTGAGGGTACAGCTCTCTCCAGAGGTACTTCAAATCTTGGTCTGGTACTTTCTTGAGTTTGTCAAGCTTTTGGCTGCCTCCTACCTCCTTGGTAGGATGGAGTGTCAAACTTTGGATTTCTAATACAATTTTAGTAATGGTCTCAAAACGAAAATTTGAGAAATGAAGTTAGCTTAATTAGTTACTTTTTAATTGGTCCTCTTGTTGGTAAAAGTCATAGTTGAGAACACCCTGGGAGAGGACCAACCTGTGGATATTCACACTGATATATTGAGCATGGTATGATCTAAACTCCTCGAGTTCCATCCCAGCTGCTTTCTATTACTGTTAAAAGAGACTTACTCCTTCTTCAATTGTCTGGATCTTTTCAATGAGGTCACATCTGTTATATTTAAAGTTCTCAAGAGGTGTCCAGATTTGTGGCTCTGGCTTAGCCCCAGTCACCTCTTCATACCTTTTTAAAGTCTGGCTGTATTTCTCTAGAGACGAGTCTGAGTAAATATATGGTGGGCAGTATTGGCCTGGATAAATATGGACACCTCCAAAAAGTTTAGCTGTAACTTCAACATAATTCTCAAAGAATTCATAGTGAGCCTTCCACACCTCACTGATTATGTGAGAGGGCATTACCTGTCCCAGCTTACAGCCGGTCTTAGAAGAGGGCTCATTTTGAGTCATCATCAGGCTAAGGTATATGAAGTATTCTGTAATCCATCTCACAGCGGTATCATTATCAATGATAAACCTATGAGTTATCTTATGCACAAAATCTGGTTTGATATCCTTGATTTGTTCCTCAAGCATGCTGAGGAATTTAGTAAGGCTAAAGCTCTCGCCGCTGCTTAAAACAACTTTAGTTTGCTTGGAATGAGACAAATTGAGATCTGGGAGCCCTGTGTGCTCTTTCCTTAGTATCTCTCTGAATTTCTTCCTGATGCTATTTCAAGTCCTTCTTGTCGATGATTTCGCTGGCTGAGTGGCTGTCTTCATTGTATCTAATCTTTGATTTAGCTCTAAGTCTTGATTGAGAATTTGAGCCTGTTGATGGATCTGGGCAATCATCTTGGTTCTGGCTTGAATCGAGCTTGTCCACCATCTGAATAGTCGAATTTTGTACCATATTGTGCAAAAAGAAAAGCTCAGGGACACTCAGGCTGACAAACTTTGTATAATCCCTGTAGATATGCCTTGCTTTATGGTATTCAGGCCATAAGGGATTAAAGATGTCAAGAAAATCTTCGTTAAACGAAGCATACTCAAGTGTCTCTTTGTATTTATCCCCATGATCTCCATATCTGAGGATAATGGAATCTCTGAGAAGGAAGCCTTTCAGCACTTCTTTGCAGAAATCATGATACTCTTTGGTCGGATACAACTTGGCCCAAACCTGGTCAATGTACGGGGGAGCTCATAGTCCATGATAAGCTTTACAGGGTTTTCCATTTATCGTGATACTAGTGGTATTGCTAGTATCTCCTCTATAGATTGGATTATCACTATAAAGCAGCAGAATTTACTCTCTCCTTTCAATGTCTATTTTGAGCAAGTTCAGATAAAGGAATTTGAGGAATTCACAGATGATAACATGCGTGATGTGCGGAGAACTAAACCCAAGATCGTTAGTAATAGAGATCATCAAGTTTTCTCATAGTGAAATGTCTGTTTGGTTTTCTTCGCTTCCTAAATCATGAGTGCCCACCATTTACTGTAAGCTCTTTTGTTCCAGTCGAATCGTGTGACCTTCCTAAACAAGGCTTGCCTCTCTGTGTATGGATATGATTGGAGTGTATACATCTTAAGATCAGCATCTCTTCCCTTTGTACAGCATAAAATACTCCCCATGTTAGAGCTCTGTATGAATGTTTGGATATAATACCCTTTGTTAGGATCTTTTAAGGGGTTTTGGGGTTTTGGGGTTTTGGGGTTTTGGGG